TTGTATGCTCAACTCCCATTGTATTTCATTTTATTGGTTCACCCTGATTACATAATAAACTCAATGCTAGTCTCCAGTGGTCTGAGTAGGCATTTAGCTCCTTAGTATCACCTTGCTGAAGCATCGATGTCACCCTCGATAGTCCAGCGAGTAATGTTGTCTGGTTTCTACTTCAAGGTCCTCAGTGCCGGATGTGAAGCAAAAAGTAGTCTAGACCCTACAACAAGTAATGAAACGAACTGCATTCCAGAACAGGTTTTATAGAACTTTCTACTCCTCTTAGATGAATGACAAGAGAGGGCACTGTAACTGTTTAGTCATTTCAGGAAGGCACTGCTCGTTTTTATGGTTTCTGTTATAATTTTGAACCCCGCATTTGTTCATTGACAATGTTTGTGAGAAACTTTGCTCAGTGGCCCACTGTCATGCATTGAAACATTACAATGAGTCACTCAAGGAAAAAAACAGATGGGAATATGCCTGAGATTTTTGTAGATTTTAGTTCAGAAGTAGTCATGACACTGAAGATTTTTGAAAGGCATCACACCTTTGACATGAATGTGTAAATAGGCATGTAATTTGCTTAAAACCTGAAGGTACCGAAGGACAAACCAAGAATTTTAAATAGGTTAAATGGGACGCAGAGGTGCATTAACATGGGCCTGAATTCAAACAAGATTACATTCCTTGGTTCCTTGAATCATTTTTACTCTTAAACTGTCATCTGTTTACCCTCATGGCAGTGGTTTGTGAAAAGTTCGGATGAAGTGTTCTTTGTTGTAAAATGCGAGTGAAAAAATAGAAAGTATCAGACAACGAGCTGATGTTGAAAAATGTCAACATTTTAAGCAATATCTGATATCTATCCCTTTTTTTAAGAAAGGTCTCTTAACACTGCATGATTTCCACAGATATTTGGCAAGTGGTTTTCTGTCTATTCACAACTTACACTAAAATCTAAATCTTTCCCTCATTTTGCCTTACTGTAACTAACTTCACCAATGCATTCAGCATTCTGTGCCGATGTATGCTCGCATACATATCAACCAGTACAAGGTACATATATATACCAATGCCTCCACTTTTAACTGTCCAAAGCATGATGATAGATGTTTTGTGTCAGTATCCTTTGTGTTGCAATCTGGAAAGTACAAGTTAGTGCACTGTGTAATGCCGCTTGTGAATTTTTGCTTGTTTCTGCAGTCTTGTCAACCATAAGCTTGCCTTAACCCATCCTGCAGCTTCAGCGTCCCTTCGTTATGAACTGCTGTCACACATTTAGTTCACATTTTTGCTTCTTGTAATGCATGTGTTCTGGTTTGTTTCTTGTTCTCTTTACTGCAGAAATTCACTGGTTTTGTCAAGTGATTCATTCATCGGATAACATGAAGTGTCATTTTTGTTTAAATTTCGACCTGCATCTATCCAGCATATACAAACAAGTAGCAACAGCGATTCATGCCATTTAAATAGCCCACAAAGTAATGGGATACCTTCAACGTACTCAGTTGGCAGATTCTGTTTTTGCATTGTTAACAGTGTTGAAATGGCTTGTTGTGTTGGAGGGAGACCGGTTGCGTATTGAAGACCATCACAAGACTCCACAAGACAACATGCTCCAAATTGAAGTCATGAGCTATCGGAATGGAGATGAACAAATGGCGCAGTGAATTTACTCCTTTGTCATTCCTCAACCTATTACTCATTGTACAACACTGCGTTAACTGCACTGCTTTGCCATTGTGTGCAGAATGCGACGGTTGCTATGCAGGAAGAAGTACCGACGAGCTTCCCAAGACGACGAAGAGGAGCTGGACCAAGACACACAGCACACCGTGCAGCAGTTCACTCAGCATCACATCAAGAGCTGCAAGAAAGACATCCTGAATGACTCCAGGTGAGCAAGAGTGCAGCAGTTGATTGCAAGAAACAGCGTAACTTAACACCATGCATCGGATGTATGCATTGTGTGTATGATTGCTTCCATGAAATGTATCCAGCTTGCTTAATATGCTGTGACACAGTGAAATGTACACTTTCATTTTAGTATGACATTGGAAAACTGTCAGAAGCTGTATCAGCGGCATCAGAGGGAAGTGGACATTGCCAAAACAAAACCAAACTATGACAAGAAACAAACTTGTGTTTCCTCAAGTGTAATGGAATTTATGAAAATTCTGTTGATGTCTTATGACAAAATCCTCCATATCAACAGTCTTAGCACAGTGCAGAGGGATAAAGGACACCCATGGTTAGTGTTTCCCACAGAATGGTCTCTGCATTAACTCTGCCACGTTGAAAATGTTTTTTCTTATTCTTCTAAACTTCGTGTCGATCCTCAGATTTTTTGTATCTGCTAAATTTGAGTGGATGCCACAAAAACATGTATGTCTTAAGGTCAATATTGCTGTATTCTTTTTGTCTACATAAGAATGAGCTTAGTACATGTAAAAATGTAAAACAGGTTGGTTTGATATACATGTATTTTTCTTGGCATCGTGATGAAAATGGACATTGCACATGTGTGGCTGAATAACAGTGGGAATTCCTTTGGTTTTACATCATGCAAAATTACACTTGTGTGCAGCCCAAATGCTGCCTAATTCTGAATCACTGAGAATGGAAATGCTTCGAATTGTTGACTGACTCTGGTTTTTATAAGTATGGTACTGTGTCAGTATCCATATGTATGTATATGTGTAAATGTATGGGAACGACCAACGTTTACAAGTAATGATTGAAGATCTGTAGTGTTCGCCTTTAACCACTTCATGCCGGGGCATTTTTCAACGTTGAGGATGCTGGGCCGGCATGACTATCATTTTTTCCGTTTTCAAAATCCTTCAACAATTCATCATTCCATTTAACAGTCGTTTATAGCCGAACAGAGTAATCTTTAGGCGCTGCTCTAAGTTGACAAGTGACCTTCATTGACGCCCGAATATTTCGGCCAGGCCTGCAGCTTTGTAAACAGAGCCCAGATTGTGCGGTGT